CAGGTCAAGGGAAGGAGACCAGTATCACTGCGACCTAAAAGATCTATTGTGATCGCTGCTATGGCTATAGTTCACTCCTAAGCCCTATACCTTCAATGAATAGAAGGAGTAGCTTAGCCGTGAGCAATTTCACTTCTTCTGGGCGGAGTAAATAGTTTCCCAGATGAGTGTTACGTTTGCACATTAAGGGCCCGCAATCAGTTAAGATGTGCAGAGGCGTTTCTTCCGTTACGTGAAACAGCCCTGACACGCCCTTGAGTTGCTTAGTCCCAGGATGAACATGTGCTATTTAAGACAACAGTGTCCAAATAGGACTCTTGCCAGAATGCGCTATTTATTTATAAAGTTATTAATTTTGCATTCTTTTATATAGCAATAGTGAAGCAGATTGAGAGCAAGTGGACTGTATTTAAATATTAAAAACTATGAACTGTGATGAGGTCTCCAATGGTTATTGGAGACCTGATCAATATTACTTACTATGAGTAATTATTATTAATAGCAAGAGTTCTTCTCGGTTGACAGTACAAATGGGCGTGCCTCAAGGCTCAATGCTCGGCCCCTTTTTGTTTCTTTTATATATTAATCTAAAAACTTCACTTGATGTTGAATCTTTGTTGGAGGAGAATCGATCCATCAAAAGTAAAGAAAGTGATACAAATCCACTTTACACACTAGCTCAAATACTCAGTTTGAAACCAAAAACTTATAATAAAAAAGGTGAGTTATTATTAAACTTAGTTGGAACTAGTAAAAGTAAAATACATTGGGATAATAAAGGCACGGTCATAATTGATAATGAAAAAAATTCCTGGAAGTAATATTGTTGATTTAATAAATGATTCACTAAGAACCTTAAAAAGAAGTGATACGATAGGGTGGGATGGATTTGCTAAAGCATTAAGAGATATTTATGTACCACTTACTTATATTGCAAATCCAAAGAGATGTGAGTTTATTAACCAGCTTCAAGCAAAAGATCTGAACAAACCCTCTGAGATTGAAGTTCAAGAGTTTTATACACCGAGCAGTGGAGATACAAAATGTATAACTAAAATAGAGTTTACTACTCCGAGCAGTAGAGATAAAAAATCTATAACTAAAATACGTAAAAAACTTGATTGGGAAAAATGGACTAGAATACTAGAAGAAATTAACAGGATTTATTATGATCCATCTAATCCCGCTCAGGGCTCAATTCTCGGCCTTTTTTTTCTTGTATATATTAATGCCTTACCTTACACAGTAGGGGATAATCATGATATAGTATTATTTGCTGATGGCACTTCATTAATTTTCCAATTAAAACGACAGTTACTAAATTATAACGAAGTAAATAATGTTGTATTTAAATTAGTTTAATGTTAATAATTTGCATTTCAGTGGCACTAAAACTATATGTATGAAATTCATTACTCCGAATGTCAAACATGTTGGTACTAATTTAATTTTAAATGGGGAGAAGCTGTCTTGCTGATACCACCATTTTTCTTGGAATCACACTAGACGCAAAGACATAAATAAAAAAAAATTCCCAATAAAAAAAAACTATTGAAGCTGAAGGGCCCCATATATCAAAAGTAGCAAGCAGACTTAGTTCTGCAGCATATGCTGTAAAAAAGATAAGTCTTCCCAATGTCGGAACAGCTAGACTAGTTTACTTTAGCTATTTCCATAGCATAATGTTGTATGGTATTTTGCTATGGGGACCCGAGACTGACACTGAAATTATATTTGTTTTACAGAAGAGGACCTTTAGAGCTATCTATTTTGAACTTAAAGAGTCAATCAGACAAAAAATTTAAGAAATTAATATATTAACTTTGGCCTCTCAATACATTTATGAAAATGTAACGTACGTAGGTACACTAAAATAAAAATAGTTTTACTTAAATAAGTGATTTATTCTGTAAGTACTAGAAACAAACACAAGCTAGTAATACCAATTACTCGACTCCATTGTGTCGGTAATTCATTCTTGGGTCGATGTATACGCTTTTACAACAAAATCCCAGAAAATATACAAAATATAAATTGCGCAAAGTTTAAAAAATTTATTAAACTAAGTTTGTATAAAAAGGTTATAAGTATTAAGGAATTTATTGATGATAATAACCCCTAGTAAAGGTGATCGCTACCAAGCTATTTCTAATTTTTATGTCTTGTTAATTGAAAAAAGCATGTAAGCTATTTTAAAAAAAAGTCCCGCTGGGTTTCTTTCTGGTTCTTCCCAGGACAGAGGTTTTTTCGAACCAGTGGTAAATTAAAAAAAGTGACTCATTAAATATTTTTATAATCTATACTAAACAAAAAAAGTTTGATTCTGTTTCTGTTTTTAAGATTAAAATTTATATACGTCCCACAGTTGGGCACATGCCTCCCTCACTTCTGAGAGGGTTTTAGGGCAAGGAAGTGTCCGCCGCGCTGCCCTAATGTGTGTTGGCGGATTTCGCATCTCAAACATGCAGATCTCCTCACGATGTGTCTCCCTCACCGCCGAGCACGTAGAAAATCAGCACTTAAAATTGTAATTTAAAATTTCATTGATGGCGGTGGGGATCGAACGTAGGTTCCTCGCGTACTGTGAAATTTACAGCGAGCGCTAAGGCCCTGAGACACCACGACTCACATTTAACGAAAAAACTTAACGAATCCCATATAAAACTGGCTAAATTAACTAAATTGATTCTGCTGCTCGCTAAAAACGGTCGTTTTTGCAACAACGTTTGTGTTGTTTTTTTGCAGTGCACTGCTGGAGAACTAATGAATTTGAAATAAACTCATAACAAAGTGCTGAAAACGCCTACTGGCGTGTTATTTATTATTCATCAACCGACTGCCGAACGGCGTTTTCGTCAAAAACAAGCCGCATCTTTCTAGTGAGAGCAAACTTTATTTCCGCATTGAATGGGCTATACAGTCCTGAAGTTACCGTAATATCAACTTTTTATTGCTAACAAAAATGTAATTTATTTTACTACTTACTCCATAAATTCCGTCCACTACACTAAAAGTCCATTGCTGTATCACTGATAGATTTCCGCATAGGGCGTTTTGCCATAGATACCACGGTTGGCAGGCGGTATGGCATCCGCATTTTTTATAATTTTGAGTTTCTACTTTACTTTGTCTTTAATTGATAAATTATCAAAACATAATACCAGTAAAGAAGGTGGGATATGTATGCGAGTGACTAGAATTCGCTTGCACCACGGAAATTGTTAATTAAATGTAATAATTTGAGAAACAATTTTCGAGGTTGGCGTATTATGGACTGAGGTGGAACCACATTTGCTGCTTTAATATACCTAGCTACAGCACGAGTGGGTCGGTTTGGCAGTGGTGAGTAGGTACACGTTCTCACAGAATACACTCACGATACACCAGAATAATGCTTCTATGTTACGTATAGTTAGTGTAAATAACAGAGAACCTTTTTACTGGTAAAGAGGCATGCTATCTTAGTCTCCATGTGGGTCGATTCGCATTTCGACTGGATGGACTTTGACAAGAAAATTTGAAGACAGTATTGATAGTCATTAGGACAACATACGTTCAATAGGTGAATAAAACGAACAGTATTCCTAAAACAAAATCCTTTTAAAAATAAACAAAATAATTCCTAAAATAAAAATAAACAGGTACTTAGGAAACTATGGTATACTATATCAATATCAAATTGATGAATTAATAAAAGTTTTGTTAGAAAAAACGAAAGAAATCGTACTTGGACTAAACCATGGATTTTAAAAAGAAAGGAATGTGGATTATCTGCATTGCTTCTAGAAGAACTTCGTAATGGAACATCTAGGCGGTCAACTATTAGTGTTCTTCTACAACAAAAAAGTTTTATATTCTGTTATCTTGTTAAAAAAACACGACTAGTGTTAGGTAGTGTCAATGAGTATTATGAAGAAGAAAAACGCATTCTCGCTACTACGTTAGTACCTTATTAGTTGGTGCTCACTACACATTAACCGCTTAGCCACTAGCATGGAGTACTATAACTAAAAAAAAAGTTCACATGCTGTAGAAGTAAAGCTTTCGAATGAAATTAATACCATTTATAATTCAGATGCTGCCGACTAGCCGTTCATCACTCGAGGATGGCTAGATCGATTTCAATAAAAAAATTCGTTTGATTTTGCTGCCATAATCCTGAAATCACCCATGCTAAGGGTGTGTCCCGGCGTGTATATAAAATAAAAATATTTCACTGCAAATTATTTATTTAATATAATTTTCAACCACAAGTGCGGTGTAAAATATAATATTCAAATTACAGCAATCTTAAAGTAGTTTTCAGTTCAAAAATATACTCGCATAATCGGTTACACGAAGCTAGTACACAAGCCAGAATAGTAAAAACGACTATTCCTAGTAGTATCACTAGCTCAGAAATAGAGCCCCATCCTTGGTTTAGACAGTTACTTACTAGCCCAGAAATAAAGCTAATTCTGTATAATATGAAGTCAGAGTAACTAGCTTGCTAACTTACAGGCACAAGTTGCTATTCGTGCGTTACGTATAAAAAACATATTCGAATTATTATTTAACCGATAAAACAGGAGCAACAATCCGCTGGCGGTTGAATTCTCGCCAAAATCCACTTGCCTCGCTAATCGTTAGAGAAAATATAATTTTGCATATTATAAATAAATAAAAATACATAAAGGTATTAAAAGTTGATTGTCTACACATCACTAAAAAAATGGGCGGAGCTTACAGCATCCGCCATTTATTGTTTCAATTTGACACGATTTTCTTGGTAGGCTTGCCATCTCCTCTATTTTCTATGCTCAAAGTTGACAACTATATCAGTTGTCAATTGTCATTGCGACTTTAGTGAGGTGTTATTTTCATATGTTTCTCTTGTGGAATTCGATTTTTCTTTTTTTTTTAAATTTTTTATTCTATTCCTCGGGACTAATTTAATAAAAATAAATTAAATTACGAAATTTCTTATTCTATTCCTTGGATTAATTTGCTAATTTTCAATCATGCATGCTGTATGTTAGTAAATTCTTGTAAAAACTAGAAAGGGTTATTATTATTGCCACAATTTACTTAATAATATAATTGATATTCATAATCTTACAGATTCAAAAGCGCTTAGAAAGGAATATTAAACATCGAAAAAGTAGTAGACTGCCTGCTTTTGACAGTATACGAAACTTGCCTAAATGTGAAGTGCCTGACCCAATATCCGAGAGTCAGAAAAAGGTGGAACACAGAAGAATGCAGTTGGAGAAATGGAAAGAAGAAAAAGAGAAAAAAAAGACCAGAATACCAGTAACAAAAGGTTTTTTTCTCTGTGCAGCAGAAAAGAAACCTTTTGTTGCTGGTATTGTGCACCCGTCATCGAAATATGTTCCACCACCTCCACCTAGACCAATGCCTAGTAAGTACATTGGGAGGAGTTACTAGGTCTCAATCTTACAACTAATAGTCAAGTTACACAGAAAAATTCCAAAGGCTCAAAATCAACCAATTTTTTACATTCGTTTGCACCAAGCAATGCATCATTTAAACCTCCGGAGCTAAAAACTATAACAAAACTTCCTACTTTGGTACGGGTACAAAATAAGAAAAAAGTAGTTGACCCAGTAGTGCCAGATGTTAGCCAAAAGAAGGCTTTATTAAAATGGCTCATCAACTAAATCAGTCACTATGGCTTCAAAAGTTAATTCTCGCAGTAGGCAGTGGATTTATTTCATTATATTATATTATATTCCTCTTTAATGGATTTATCCATCACTTTTGTGATTGATAAATCTGTTAAAGAGGAATATCCTAAAACCTCAATTCAAAAAAAAATATTACACTGTAGCAGCTCAAATAGTGACATGGAGCCATCATCTGCAGAAATATTTCTTAAAAAATTATATGCGTGTTATGATATTCAGTGGATCTCTTTAACTCGAACCTCGTTAAGTAGAAATCCTCAGTAAGTCGAAAAAAATTGCCATTTCCTTCCGCTGAACCCCTAAATACGCGGTATCTTGAATTATTAGACTTTGTAACTCGAAGAAAATGTTATTTCCCTACGAAATATTGATAATAGATATTTATACTCTATAACTCGAATTTCAAAAAGGAGACTCCGTAAGTCATAGTTAGTAAGCAATAATGACGTCTTACTTGGAATTCCCCGAAATAATAGCAATAAAATCCGGGTTCTTAATCGTAAAGTAGCTGCCGCGTCACCTGCCGAGCGTCGGCCGGGCTCGGCGGGTGACGCGGGCAGCTATGCGTTGAAACGAAAACATGAAACGTCCTCTCAAACTCAAAAAGTATCGATGTTAGAAAAAAAGTTTCAAACAAAAGTTTTGGAAAATAAACTGATCTTTCAAAATATATTTATGCATTTTATTGATTAATCTAATATTTCAAGAGTTATTGGCTGCGATAGAAAAACCGGGTCATTAAATGGGCCATAAATCGTAAACGGTAAGTTTTAGAAAAAGTTTACTGAAAACAAAAAGATGCGAAATTTTATTTTCTACAATAATGGTCTGCATAACGTTTGCCTTAAAGTGCATTGTTTCCGAGATATCGGCTGAAAGCGTTTTTTCAAGATGGCGCTTGAAGCGCCACCTGTTCATTAAATGGGCCATAAATCGTAAACGGTAAGTTTTACAAAAAAGTTTGCTGGAAACAAAAGAGGCGAAATTTTATTTTCTACAATAATGGTTTGTATAACTTTTGCCTTAAAGTGCATTGTTTCCGAGATATCGGCTGAAAACGTTTTTTCAAGATTGCGCTTAAAGCGCCACCTGTCTGGGCCATAAATCGTAAACGGGTCGGCATTTTGTGATTTTATGCTGAATAAGTGATCCTAAACCTCATAAAAATAAAATTGAATCGGAAGTTTCACCCAATGTTAAATTCTATTTTTACTGTACTATTTCATGAAACATTTTATTTGTCAACAACGTCTTACAATCGTTTCTCTAGGGCTCACGTGACCTTCATACAAATAATTAGATATTTTAATTGTTGATAATTTTTATTTTTGGATAAGAACATGGTAATGACAAAGTTATATTTCATCATCATCATCATCATTATCATTACAGCCCTTCACAAGTCCACTGCTGAACATAGGCCTCCCCCAAGTAATGCCACAAAGCACGGTCCTGAGCCACCTGCATCCATCGACTTCCTGCATGTCTTACCAGGTCGTCACTGCATCTAGTGGGGGGTCGCCCTACACTACGCCTACCGGTACGAGGCTGCCACTCGAGAACCTTTCTTCCCCATCGGTTATCGGTTCTTCGAGCTATATGGCCGGCCCATTGCCACTTCAGCTTACTAATTCGTTGGGCTATGTCGGTCACTCTGGTTTTACTGCGGATATCCTCATTTCTGAGTCTATCACGCAGTGAAACTCCGAGCATAGCCCTCTCCATAGCTCGCTGAGCGACCTTGAGCGTCCTCATACGGCTAGCGGTAAAGGACCACGTCTCAGATCCGTAAGTTATCACTGGCAACACGCACTGGTTATACACTTTAGTTTTCAGAGATTGAGGTATACCTGACGAGAAGATGTGTCGTAATTTCCCGAACGCTGCCCAGCCGACTTGAATCCGTCGATTGACCTCTCGGTCGAAGTTGGACTTACCTAGTCGGACTATTTGTCCCAGGTAAATGTACTCGTCAACAACTTCGAGCATAGTGCTCCCAACAACTACCGGCATAGGTGTGACATGGACATTAAACATGATCTTTGTTTTGTCCATGTTCATCTTAAGACCTATCCGTTGGGAGACACCATTGAGGTCATTGAGCATAGTGCTAAGGTCCTCCAGCGATTCTGCCATAAGGACTATATCTTCGGCAAATCGAAGGTGATTGATGTACTCTCCATTGATGTTAATACCTTTCCAGTCCAGTAGCTTTTGAAACGTCTTCCAACGCAGCGGTGAAGAGTTTCGGGGATATAACATCACCCTGTCTTACACCTCTCTGCAGTTGGATAGGTTTCGTACTCTGGTTCTGTACTCGGATAGCCATCGTAGCCCTACTGTACAAACACTTCAGCACTTCAATATACCGACAGTCAACTAGGCACCGCTGAAGAGACTGTAGCACCGCCGAAATTTCGACGGAATCAAAGGCTTTCTCATAGTCCACAGGGGCCAGGCAAAGTGGCAGATTGTACTCTTCGAACTTCTGTACAATTTGCCGAAGGGTATGTATGTGGTCTATGGTAATGAAGCCTTTTCGGAAACCGGCTTGTTCGGGAGGCTGGAAGTGGTCGAATCTGCGTGCGAGACGATTCGTAATGACTCTCGAAAACAGCACGTAGACGCGGCTCAGAAGGGAAATCGGTCTGTAGTTCTTCAAGAGAGCGTTGTCGCCTTTCTAAAAGAACAAGACCACCGCACTTCTGCTCCACGCCTCCGGAGTAGTGCCACCATGGATGACGGAATTGAAGAGCTTCTGAAGGACTTCAAGTACCGGTGTTCCACCCGCTTTCAGAAGCTCCGCTGTAATTCCATCCTCGCCCGGGGCCTTGCCGTTTTTAAGGTGGTGGAGAGCCATTCTAATCTCGCTCAGACTGACGTCCGGGATATCATCTGAATAGTGTTGGATAAGACTTGCTCTTGGATCGTTACTCACACTTGCGTGTGGCTCCAACGATGATGTGTACAGCTGCCCATAAAACCCTCCCAATCTCACTCAGAATCTCAGGTGCCCCGGAAACGATGCTGCCACACTCAGTCTTCAGCCTTGACAGTTGGCTCTTTCTGGCAGACAGATCTCTGGCAAAGACTTTGGAGCCCTGGTTCCGCTCGATCGCTTCTTTAATACGAGCAGTATTAAAGTTGCGTAAGTCTCGCCGCATGCAATTGGAGATCTGTCTGTTCAGTTGCCTGTATGCTGTCAAATCTGTTGACGATTGCAGCCTCATCTCCCGTCTAACAGCCATGAGATTAAGAGTGTTATCGGAGAGTTTGTGTTCTTCTGCGGCGGGTCTTGCAGAACTTGGCTCCGACCTCATGGACAGTTTCCACGAGCTTGTCATTCATATCGTCCACTGCATTGCAATCCTCTAGGCACTGAAAGCGGTTTTGTAACTCGAGCTGAAAGGTTTCGGGATTCTGGATTAGAGCACGAGGGGGACGGAGCGTTGACTTCATTAGACGAGACCTCTCCAACTTAACATTTAGGTTCAGTGTGCCTCTAACCATTCGGTGATCGCTACTCGTTTTCACCCTTGCGATCACTGAGACATCACTGAACAGTTGGCGTCTGGTCGTCATAATGAAGTCAATCTCATTTTTTGTCGAAACGTCGGGGCTCGACCAGGCCCACTTCCTGTGGGACCGCTTCTGAAAGAAAGAGTTCATCATAAGGAGTCCCTCTTTCTCCATAAAGTCGGCCAGCTGCTGGCCCCTTCGGTTCCGTTGCCCTACTCCAAATTTCCTCACCTTCAGCTCACCGCTTTCTCTTGTGCCTAGTTTTGCGTTGAAGTCTCCCATCAACACCGTGTAGTGGGTTTTGGAGGAATGCATGGCTCTGAAAATATCCCCATACATTTCCTCCACCTCCTCATCGGGATGTGCCGAGGTTGGTACGTAAACCTGTATGACCTTCAGCGAATACCGTTTGGTGATTCTGAGTATCAGGTACGCGACCCTCGTCGACACACTCCCAATCTTTACAACGTTGTTGACGAGAGACTTCTGGACGATAAATCCGACACCTCCTTGGGACAGATGGTCGCCCTCCCGGTGGTAGAACAAGTTGCCGGACTCGAGGATTACCGTATCCTCCCCCCTCTCTTCGGACCTCGGATAATCCAATAATATGCCAGCGCAACTTGTCTACCTCTTCTTCCAGCTCCAGTATCTTCTCGTCAGTCCTCAAAGTGCGTGCGTTATATGTTGCCAGGTCGAGTCGTCGTAGGTGGCAACCGAACCTCCACCGGAGATTCTTAGCACCCCCTGCCCCGCCGTTACCATGGTCGCCACCGTAGCCAGGAATAGCGGGGCAGCCGGGGACTGGGGGCCGTTTTTTTGCGTCGTTATTCATGGGTGGTTATCATTTGCCATAGTTGCCACGCTTGGCGAGCGGGTTGGCAACCGCAGTTTTTTATTATAACACAGTTGTTATCAGAAAGATGCTGCTGCCCATCTCCTGCCTGTCTCCCTCTGTCGCCTCTTACGACACCCACGGGAAGATATGGGGTAGTGGATATTCTCAACCGCCACTACACGGCGGAAAGTTATATTTACCTCTTTGAGTATTAAATCAAAGGAGACGGCATCGCAAGGCATACCCCTCTATAAAAGGTACGAGAGTCCGATTCATACTCGTTATATAAAACTAGTTGCTCCGCGTCGTGAGTCATTCCGAAATGATCGTGCCAGTAAATCGAGCTCCGACAAAATGCCGAATTGCAGTGTATTTACATGAAA